ACCAACGTCAATAATGAATGGTTCGACTTGTTCCTCTAAAATATTGTCCAGTTCCCACATTCTCTTTTCAACTTTGTCTTTCACGTGCTTAATACAGTTTTCCCATTTTTGCGCTGTTATTAATTCTAGTGCTTCTTTGAAAAGTCCTTTGAGGTCACAAAATTTAAAAGTTGTATTGTGCTTAGCTATATAATTTTTACCCTCTGCCCATATGAGCTCAATGGGATTGAGCTCGCAATGGTATGGAGGTAAACGGAGCACAGTTTTATTTTGACTTGCTGCCATTTCGTCAATGGCGTATTTTTGATATTCCGCCTTGTGATCCTTGACAATTCTTAATAATTGTACTTTCAGCATTGCTTCTTCAAAGTTGATATTTTTCGAGCGGAGCCAATTTTGAACATCAACTTTCGCCGTTGTTGGGACCTTCTCCATTCTTCGAGAATGATAAGGCGCATTATCCAACACAATTACTGCGTTTTCCTCTAAGTTCGGTAAAATTTTTGAAAACCACTGTTCAAACGATTCGCCATTCATTTCCTCGTGGTAATCTCCAGTTTTCTTAGACTCAAAGCACCACAGACCGTCAACAACAAATCCTTCCTCACTGCCAATATGGCAGATAATGAGCCTTTTCCCTTTACCTGGAAATTGAAGTACTAACTGGTGTAGATTTATTTCAATAAGCGAACCTTTTTCAAATGTTTTCATCACATTCAGCGAAAAAACATTGAGACATGAGTATCAGATTGCTATAATTGGGATTATTTAGTCATATTGAAAGAAAGAATATTGAACGTCGTATGATTACTCAGCGCTTCACAATTTAATTTAAAGTTATAAACCTTTAAAAAATGAATGATCAGGAACCTGAAATTCGCGCAAATATTAATATTCACAAATTATAACTTTATAAAGCTTAAAGTATGAATTAAAATGATTAGAAATATTAGGAACGGTACACAATATAAAACTTTTTACTTTTAACTTTAACTAACTACCTACTAACTAACTTTTTTTAAGTTTATAGTATTCGACATATTTTAAGATTATATTAAAAAATTATTGAAATATCGAAAACACATAAAAACATGGCTTAAAAAAGTTCTAACAAATGAAAATGACAATAAAACATCCACGCATTTTATCGAAAGTTATAAAAGTTTTGTTACTTGTAATATGTTTTATCTGCCCCCTGGAATTAATGTTTAGAACCTTGTTCCCAAGGTTTGAAAAACATCCGATTGTTGTCTATTACTCGTATTTACCTGCTGGATTTGTTAATCCGGTGGACAGTCCATCTAGAAAGGCCCTCCTGGATGAAGTTACAGAATCATCAACCCATACTTTACTTGTAGTGTGTCCTGCGTTTACCCACGTTTCATCAAGGTAATAAATCTTCCTGTTTTGATTTCTATATTTCCCAATTTTTGTTAAATAATGCCTCCTCCATAGCACAATTTCTTCTCTATCCAGTAGTAAACTATTACGACCCCGTTTTTTCCATTTGAAATTTAAATGCTTCAGTAACGCATGGAAAGTTGATCGTTTGAAATTTGGCAACGTTGTATCTCCATTTACCTCCTGCAGTACTTTATCTATAGTAGGTATTTCATTCCTAAAGAAGAATTCATGCACTTTCCTCCTAATCGCATGCTTATCAGCTTCATCCAATGATTTAACAATACTTTTGCGATGTTTACTGGTGATTGGCTCAGAAAAGGTGTGTTTTTTTTGTATTGTCTTAACACATTAAACACTGATGCGCGACACACCCCAACTTTGTGAGAAACCTTCACAACAATTTCTTTGATGGTTGATGCCTCGTTCTCCTCGCGCTCGATCTTATATATATTCAAAATGACCTCTTTCATTTCTGCACTCAGGTATCTTTTTTTAGAGCATTTCCTAGGTGGACTACAGGAGTTTACAACTTCATCGGCAGTATCTGTACTACTGGGCATTTTGCGCAAGCAGTTGATAACAATAACAATCAATAACAAGGTATAACAATAACAACGACAAACTCAACAACTTAATAAGATAACAAACGAAAACGTCCAAAGAAATATCAAATTGCAATGATGTACACGACATACGTAACACGTCTGAACCTGAATGTGACTCTGCCTTGATACGACTGCTCTGCCGCTCGGCATAGGCATTTAATTGCGAATTGACCAATGAGGGCTCCTGTTTTACGTCGAGACGGCGGCGTTAGCGTGAAAATCATCCGAACCTTTTGTTTACATCCGGTCTATCTCTTATCTGAATATACTGTAAGTACGTTGTATCTCTTAAATCTTTTGAAAATTCTTTTACCTCTGCCATTCTCACTGATGCTAATATTTACCGCACGCAATATCAGAGTATCGCAGAACGAATAAATACGGCAAAACTGAAACCTTTCCATACTTTTGTTCTTTTAATGCTAGTCTGTAGTACCACAAATTGTCATTTATATTTTCAAGACTGTAAGCAAACTATAAGGGGAAAAATAGTCCTTAATAATAAAGAATAAAAAATTAGCGCACTTATTAAAAATTTCTAAGAATGAATCCAAACGTTTGTCCGCTACTGTATATCGTTTTATGGCTGTTCACGTCAGCAAAACCCGACCACCACTTACTTTTATCAAAATTGCGATCAACCGGACTGTCAGACTTAGTATTCCTGATGCAGTCTCATAAACAGAACACAAATCGTCGAGTATGGGTGTTACGCCTCAATGCCTCATACTCCTACTTCGGGGGGCCTCAGGGATCAAATCTAGGGCCCCTATTATTCATAATATATATTAATGACCTGGCAGTGCAGCTATCCAAATTGAAGCTTTTATTAGGAGTAAATTGGAATATGCTGCACTGGTTTGGTCGCCAATTTATCAGAATGCAATTTTAGTTATCAAATCTGTCCAGAGTAAGAGCCTGAAATAGATCAATTTCAAAGTTTATGGGATATATCCTGGAAGAGGATTTGTACACAATATTCTACTTCAAGTCACGAATTGATACATTGGTGTACTGTCATCAGTTAAATGACATTACAATGCTTCATAGTCTGGTTAATAATCAACTTGATTGCCCGGAATTAGTATCTAAAATAAATTTTGTGGTGCCAAAGAGATTAACTCGCTCTAATGCAACTTTTTACAGCGTTAGGGGTAGAACAAACATATCGGACATGTTTCCCGTTAAAAGAATGCGTGATGTGTTTGACACTTAATGTCAAAAATACGATATCAATAATGATACCATTCAGGTGCTTTTAAGCAGTTATAAGCAAACATATGCGGTGCTTAACCAGTAATGTTTGTTTTAGCTAATACAGCTGTAATTTTTAGTAATATATTTTTTTGTCAATTTTACTGTCATTCATGATCATGTTTATGTATTTATTTTCTGTAATAATGTTTTGCAATCGTGTTTTAAATATCATTTTGTGAAATGAACTCTTTCTTATACACAAGAGCATAGAACTTGATGTTTATTATTTGATATTCCTATGCTTGGGTGCAAACTTGTTGGATTATTATTATTATTAATTCGTCAATAATAGATTGATGTTTGACAACTGTGATGCTAGGTCATTAATGTAGATTATAAATAACAGGGGACCTAGGTTAGATCCCTGAGGCACTCCTGAAATGGCAGAAAAGGAAATGATGTATGACACCCATCCTCAAATGAAATAGTTTCATTATCTCTTTTTAAACTAGTCTAAAACACTTCCTGATATACCAAATGCCTTCAATTTACCTAACAAATTATCTGTATCAATTGTTTCAAGTACCCTCTTCAAATCCAAAAGTACTGCTATGGCAATTTCTCCAGAGTCTATGGCTTCTCAGTAATCAACTGGAAAGCCGTGGAATATTTTTTGCGAAAACCTGCTCGTTTCCGCAAAAATGTTGTGTTTCTTCTATAAATTGCATGTTTTACGAACAAATGACGTGTTATCCCATAAAGGATTTCTAAATTTTCGCATGATGTAGGCAAATTTCTAGTTTTTTGCAGGTTTTAGGTTTGCTGGTAGCTCGTATGACATATATTTGGGTATTTCTTAATCCCTGTGAATATAGTGTGGATGTTTGTTAAGTTCCTCAGCAACGAAAAGTATTCAACTTTATGGATGTATGGATATTAAAAAACCAGAATGGTTTTGTGGGAATATCAATCTAAGGTGCCATAATGGTTCTGATGAACGGCAAGTAAATGAATGAATGTTTGGAAACGAGCAATATCGATGAACTTTTTGGTAGAGCCTGTCATGAAGTAGGTGCTTAAGGGCTATCTGCAACAGGTTTATAGGAAGAAACACCCAGTAGATGATCTTGAATCAGTAAAATCGCATATCAATTGAAGAAAATAATATTATCATGAATAAAAAATCAACAATGGTAATTCAAACATGAATTTTATTCAAAAATCAAACATTTGTTTAAATGTTGACTGAATTATATGTAATTTCTTAATATTCAATAAGCTGGTGATGTTTCAATGACAAGATGTCATCTCATACTTTGACAATATTTTCAACATTTCATAGCTATTGGTTGTTAAAATTTGTTGATTGGAACTTGAAGCTCATTCGCTGCATTTAACGGGCTGTTACCCTATAGGTGGAGAATAACGGACTGTTGTTGATGAAATTGGCCCTAAAACACTTCCTGATATACCAAAAGCCTTCAATTTACCTAACAAAATATCTCTATCAATTGTTTAAAATGACGTCTTCATATCCAACAATACTGCAGTGACATCTTCTGAATGGCGCTTCTCAAATTCTCAATAACCAACTGGAAAGCCGTTTCTGTGGAATTTTTTCAACGATATCCTGCTTGTTTCCATTAAAATTTTGTTTTCTATAAACTGCGTCATACAACAATTCTAATTTTTTGCGGATTGTAGCGCCGTGTCTGCGTCGAGAACTTTTCCCTTTACCTCCATAAAGCACTTAGCCTCAAATAAATTTCGCTCAATGTTGATTTGACTTTTTAGTTGGGAGACATGGTGGAAAGGCATCTGCACGACGACGACGTAGTTTTGTTCAATCGCCAACCCAGCTTGCACAAACTTTCCATTATGGCACACAGAGCTAAGATTCACGAGCACAGGACATTTAGATTCAACGAATGTGCGTGTAATCCGTACAACGCTGATTTCGACGGAGACGAGATGAACTTGCACTTACCACAAACCGAGGAAGCCAAGGCCGAGGCACTTATTTTGATGGGGGTAAGATTGAGATTTAAACATTTATCACATACTAGCCTAAACCCGCGACTCCACTCGAGTGAGAGTAGTGTAAAGTATAGGTCATACGTCTTGCTATAGTTTGAAAGAAATTAGTCTCGTGGAAAGAAGTTCAATATTCAAAGTAATGCGATAGTTACTTTGGTAGAGATTAACATTTTGATGCAAAAATATACAGGGTGACCCAACAAAATTGTCACGATATTTTTACACGATCACAGATGAGCCTTAGAGTTTATATAAAAAATAAATTTCTCATTTCTCGTTGCTCAACAGTTCTCGTATATGTACAGGGTGTTTCAGTTTATTGTTGCATAACGTTAAGGTTCGATAGAACTTTTAAAATTAATGCATAAAGTCTATATAAACATGGGTCGAAAAATGCGTGGCTTCCGAAATACAGGGTGTTTAAATTTACTTTCTAAAATAGTTTTTTTTAAATATTTCGAACAATATTTGATGTATAACAGTGAAAATTGGTATACAAGGGTTTTTTGGTACGACAAAACGAACCATGGGCATAGTTTTACTGTAGCCGCTAGAGGGCGCTCTCTACTGTACCTGTAGTGTATTAAAATGACCGAAAATTTTTTCTTAGTGCAATTTTTTGCTTTTTGAATAAAAAAACTGATTCTTCGCAATTTTCAACATAAAAAAGCTCTCCTGTGAGTTTTCGTTATAGTTAGCCGTTTTTGAGATATTTCAATTTTTAAGGTTCGATGCATTTTTAATTATTTATGGGAAAATAATATTTTTTTTACATTTTCGATTTGGGCATTACAAGTAATTAAGATGATCGTTTAGATTGGGTTTTTAAACACAGCAATAATTCCTAACTCCAAATAAACACAAAAAACAGAATATTAATTTGTTTAATTTTCCAATATTTTTAACAAATTAAATTAATTATTTACAACTGAAATGCAATTGGATAGTTAGGACAAACATACAAAACCTAAAGTAGTTGCTCGAAATGTAAACCCAATTGTTCAATACACAATTCACATCTTCGAATGATCGAACGTGGTATAGCATTATTCAAATAAGGCCTTATTTCATCTCATGCATTCCTGATTCTGTCTATTAGCATATCTCTTGTGGTTACGGGAGTCTGGTACACTTTTTCTTTTAGGAATCCCCACACAAAGAAATCTAATGGATTTAGGTCAGGGGATCGTGGAGGCCAGGCGACTGGTCCTCCACGGCCGATCCATCTTTCTGGATAATTTTCGTCCAGCCAGGTTTTAACTATTCTCGAATAATGAGCTGGACAACCATCAAGCTGGAACCATGCCAATCTTCTTACATCTAACATAACATCATCCCACATATTTGCATGTTCAGCCTTTAAAAATTCCAAGAAGGTCGCAGCATTTAATCTTGCAGGCAAAAGTTAGGGTCCAAATAGTCGATTACGGTAGATACCAATCCACACGTTCACACTAAATTCATGCTGAAAATTTCGTTCCCGAACTGCATGCGGATTTTCATGCGACCAAATATGTTGATTATGAAAATTTACAACTCCACGTCCAATAAAAATGGCATTTTTATAAAACTTACAAAAAAAACAGGTAAAAGAAACTAAATTTCGTGCATTCACAATTGCAAAAAAACGTTTCACGTTTCAACAGACAACAAAACTAACTGTCAACTAATTGACGTTTAACCTTATTCTGCTTTCAATTTCAAAAATATCTGCAGACACAGCCTACTTCTAAAAATTATCGAGATACTGACTTTTTAACGTTATTTTATGGTAAATAATTAAAAATGCAAAGAACCTTAAAAATCGAAATATCTCAAAAACGGCTAACTATAACGAAAATTCACAAGAGAGCTTTTTTATGTTGAAAAGTGCGAAGAATCAGTTTTTTTATTCAAAAAGCAAAAAATTGCACCAACAAAAAATTTTCGGTCATTTTAATACACTACAGGTACAGTAGAGAACGCCCTCTAGCGGCTACAGTAAAAATAAGCCCATGGTTCGTTTTGTCGTACCAAAAAACCCTTGTATACCAATTTTCACTGTTATACATCAAATATTGTTCGAAATATTTAAAAAAACTATTTTAGAAAGCAAATTTAAACACCCTGTATTTCGGAAGCCACGCATTTTTCGACCCATGTTTATATAGACTTTATGCATTAATTTTAAAAGTTCTATCGAATCTTAAAGTTATTCAACAATAAACTGAAACACCCTGTATATCTTTGACTCGCAGCATTGCGAGTTCTGCGACCTAGGTTGATACGTCTAATCGGATGGACGGTGCATTACTAATTAAATAAAACAATATTTCTTTCTCTTAAACGATAATATAAATTTGCGGCGTGCGAGTTGTCAAGTGCAAAATGATTGAGTAGTCAAAGTGAATTAAGCAAAAGAAACGTATTTTCATGTCATTTTTATTCACATAGTTAACTGACAAAGATAACAGTTAGGCAACACTGCAGTTTCTTTTGAAGGGGTCATCACAAAGTACGGAAGGTAAAGAAATGTAAGTCCAAACACGAAAGCACGGTCTTTTCATAAGCAATTTTCTCTCACATAGCTAACTAATGAAGATGGCGGAGAGGACTGCCTGTCTCTTTTGGTACTTGAGATATTTCGTCTGCTGTGCGTGTCCATGCTCAAGCAAACTGTCAAACGCGGATTCATTTATGTATATATATATATATATACATATATATATATAAAATGTAGAAAAATAATGGGCAAAATCCGCAAAAAAGAGGAAAGTGGATTCGAGCAGAAAATAGGATAGGTAACCCGAGCGATACGTATTTCTGCTGGTTGGCTTCATCAGGCCCGAAACTACAAAAGTAGATACACATGCCCACACATCCGGATACGGTTGTAACCTGAGGAAACGAAGATGGAGAGGAAAAAAAACGACACACGAAGTCCACAACAAGAGCCAACCTACACATTGTAGTATAAAATGGCTAGAAGACCTCGAATTTTCAAGGAGACATCTAACCACAACCACGCGGCCGGTTATACCCACTTGCTGTGGTACTTCACCTACTTATACTACAATGTGTAGGTTGGCTCTTGTTGTGAACTTCGTGTGTCGTTTTTTTATGTGCATTCATTTCGGGCCTGATGAAGCCAACGAGCAGAAATACGTATCGCTCGGGTTACCTATCCTATTTTCTGCTCGAATCCACTTTCCTCTTTTTTGCGGATTTTGCCCATTATTTTTCTACTTTTTGTTATATACCTTTCTCCGCATGATCATTTTCTCTCTCTCTCTCTATATATATACAGGGTTATCCAAATTAAGTGTCCACCATTAGTAACTTTGTTATTAGTGAAAATACAAAGTTGTTTGAATTAGCAAACTAGTAGCATTTTTAACGCTGGTAAAAATGAGAAATAAAAACAATTGAGAGTCGTTATTTTGATTTTTTTCAGTAAAATAACATTTTTTTAAATGGAAACCCCTGTATATTATATTTTTTTTCTGTTAAAGCATCAAATTTTAAACAAAAAAGCTTACAATAACTTTTCTCCTAAGTTACAAATTGTTGAAGTTCTGAAACAATTAAATTGTATCGACAAACTTTATTTTCAACATCAACTTATAATCTTACAAAATACAATAACAATTTTTTTTAAAGAAGATGCTCGAAAACACCACCTTGTTCTTCAATACATTTTTGGGCACGTTTTTCAACTGCTCGAACTGTCTTAAGTATGGTCCTACCATCTATCTGGGTTATCTTTTCCCTAACTGCAGTCTTTAACGCGTCAAGGTTATCGTACCTTCGCTTGTAAATTTGGTTCTTTAAGTAACCCCACAAGAAGTAATCAAGTGGGTTTAGATCTGGTGATCTGGGAGGCCACTGTATTGGGCCATTTGTTCCTATCCACTGATCATTAAAAGTAGTACTTAGAAAATGATAAGTACCTCTGGAGTTGTGGGCAGGTGCGCCATCTTGCTGAAAATGCAGATGATGTCTACTTATAAGATCCAATTCGTCTAAGAAATTAGTCAGAATTTCTGACATAAATTCCACATATCTTTCACCAGTTAGGGTTCCCTCATAAAAGAACGGGCCAACAATTTTTGAACCAATTATACCGCACCAAACGTTGAAACTGAAACGGACTTGTGGGCCTCTTGGATGTACTAACAAAAGATTTTCTCTTGACCAATAATGGTGGTTTTTTCTATTAAACATTCCAGAATTTGAAAAATTTGATTCATCTGTCCATAAAAGGTAACGAAAGTTATTTACATTTTGGCGACAGAAGCTAAGATACCAATGGCAAAAAACAAGTCTTCTCTCTGGATCCCCTGCCAAAAGCGTTTGAACTGGTCGGTACTTAAATTTGTATTTTTTTAAAATCCTTTGAACAGTACCATAACTGAAATTAGAGTCCTTGAGAATATCTGCTATTGAATTCTCACGATAAGCTTCAAAATATCCAATAACTGCAATTTCCGTGGCCTCGCTTATTATGAATTCTTTTTTTGCCCTTGTTTTAGCAAAAACATTTTCGTTGCCCCTAAATTTTCGATAAAGTCTCAGAAAATATCATACATACGGTTGAATGCGAGCGGGATATAATTCACTGTAGTGCTCTCAAGGAGGATTTTCTGCACACTAAATAGCATTCTAACATATCACACTTTTCTTCATGGGAGAACATTTTTCTTTAAATTAATGACACAATAAAGCTTATAAACAAGTATTTACACTAATGTTTGACATTATTTGATTTTATCATTGTTTTCCAAAGCCTTCTAGTTGCGAGTATGTCCAGTTTAACAATTTGTCGCTTATCTTAATGCTGTCAAATCGCGAACGCCATATTGTTTTCATAGCCGTCTTAATATTATAATACTGCAAATAATTAAAAATATTTATCGTTATTTTGACTTTATTTTTGACTTTAGCGGAAAAGTCATTATGAACTTTTTTGTTTAAAATTTGATGCTTTAACAGAAAAAAATATAATATACAGGGGTTTCCATTTAAAAAAATGTTATTTTACTGAAAAAAATCAAAATAACGACTCTGAATTGTTTTTTTTTATTTCTCATTTTTACCAGCGTTAAAAATGCTACTAGTTTGCTAATTCAAACAACTTTGTATTTTCACTAATAACAAAGTTACCAATGTGGACACTTAATTTGGATAACCCTGTATATATATATATATATATATATATATATATATATGTAAAATTTGCAAATATCTGAATTTCACAATAATCTAAAATATGACAAATATCATTAATGTATAAAATAAATGGTTGTGGACCTAGTTTACTACCGTGTGGTACACCAACAGAAATATTTTTGAGCTTAAAAATGTAGATCTAGTTTTGGTTTTTGACTTCTGTTAATTAAGAATTTTGTATAATTTTGAATACATATCCTTAAAATCCATAATGATGCAATTTTGTAAGTAATTTATCTCTACCAATAGTTTCAAACGCCCTTTTGACGTCCAAAAACACTGTCACTGCATGTTTCCTATTGTCCATGCATCTCCTCAAGTCCTCTAAAACCATTTGTATTGCCGTTTGAGTTGAGTGTTTCTTCCTGAATCCAGTTTGAAATTTGGTTAAAATTCTAATTCCCTCGATAAGTTCAATGATCTGTTCGTAAATAATTTCTAAGACATCTGGCAGAACATTTATTGGACACATATTGGTGTACAACTTTCGAAACAGGAGTTGGAAATTCGCCATATTTTAAACAGTAATTTATCATGATTCATATTCTTGCTCCAGAAATATCAAAACATTCATTAAGCAGCCTTTTAGACAAAATATCAATCTTATTTTGATTTAATTTCAATTTTGATATAATCTTAATACGAGTAATGTATATTGTTCTAAACTCACTGAATGATACATATAATCCAATAAAGTTAATTGCTTCTGTTTCTGACTGATTGATTTATAATTTCAGAATAAGAATAATTTGGTGACTCCGAGAAACGGGGAATTGTTGATAGCGGCAACTCAAGATTTTTTAACCGGAGCTTACCTCTTGACGAAAAAAGATACATTCATGGATCGTGAACATGCTATGCAGCTAGCCGCGACGCTGTTGGCTAGCTCAGACGCAAATATGAACATCGATTTGCCTCCACCATGCATCATCAAGGTAAGTTGTAAAAAATATGCGTATTTTCTATCATTTGCAAACATGGTAGTTCTAATAATCTCTTATTCCCAAAATGCAGGCTTTGTAGGCATTTTTCTTTGTACTTTTCATTCAGGAACCAGAGTATAGTTTCCCGAAGAATTTCGACGCGCTGAATCAGAATCCGTAGTACAAATCTCTCAATCGGCCATAGTTTTCCAGATATCCTAAACGTGCAAAATTAGCGATATTTGCCTATCCTGTAGACTCGCGACATACAGGGTTTCCGCAAAGTTGGGGTTTTCCTTTACACGACGTGTAGATCTTGAAAACATAAGCAATTTTTCTTAGTACCGTATACACCAATGTCTTAAGGGAACCGAGATAAAGGGCTCTGCAACATCAAATATATCTGAATACCGTCCTGTAGCCGCGACCCGCGATATCACCGACTGGTACAAGTGGGTAGGGGTCAGTGTGTCAGGTCAGTGTGCAACCTTCAACCGACGGTTACGGTCACGCGTGTAGAGATAATCGCGTGGCTAGAGAAGTGCAAGTATCAAAAACTAAAGTGTAGCAAACGCTGCGTGAAGAGGGGCTGTATCCGTTGAACGTCCAACGTGTACAAGCCCTTCAACCTGACGATTTTCCAGCAAGAGTGCGGTTTTGCGAGTGGTTGTTGCATCAACATGACAATAATCCGGACTTTTTGAAGTGCATATTGGTGACAGACGAATCTACGTTCACGCGTAATGGGGTGAATAACTTTCGCAACACTCATGTTTGGTCAGTAGAAAATCCGCACGCTGTCCGTCGGGCACATTTTCAACAAACATTTTCGGTGAATGTTTGGGCTGGCATGGTGAACGGTATGCTCATTGGACCATTTATTCTCCCAAATCGCTTGGACGGGATGCAATACCCAGACTTTTTACGCAACATTTTGCCTTCCTTGTTTGTCTGCGTCTGCTCGGTAGCGCATCAGCTGATTTCATTTTCTGTTGGAGCGGTACGATTTCGGGCAGAGACGTACTTAGCCCTTCTCGTCAACTGGAGAGTGAGTACTTTTTCCTTTATTTTTTTTTACTTGGTCGCCCTCGTTTCACTAAACATTATCTTTGTTATTTCAACGGTAGTTGTTTCTGAAAAGGAAAACCCCCAACTTTGCGGACACCCTGTATAGTATGGTTTGTTCGTACAGTAGTGAGTAACTTTGTTCAGCTTTTAGCTTTTTGTTGTATAACACCCTTTATTATTCAAAGACGTTATTAAATTTAAGGTAATATTTTCACTTCTTTCTTCTAGTGAGAATCTATATATATATATATATATCCTTTAATTTCTTTGGGTAGAAGCCAAAGTATTGCAAAAGTACACTCTTATAACTTAAAATCTCAAGCTTTCGAAGAATTTTTTCTTCATCGTCTGGAGCTGGAAACAATTATTATTAAAATAGCAACTAATAGTAATTAGGAGAAAATTATTTATTTACTAAGTCGGCGAGATTGTTGCTGAAATTGTTTTTTAAACAACAGTGAAGGGAACGGTTGGGACGGCATTATTTTATTGTTAAATGGCAAATCATTTTGAAAGGTTTTAATTAAAATTAGGCGTTGATCGATTTTGGAATAAATTTGGAGATTTTGAAACTATCAACTATTGAAAATTCCCCCCGAGATTTCATCTTTTTTTCCACTGATAACCTCCACGTTATCCAACACGTGCCGTGCCGGCCGACTGACATTCTACAGCAGCGTATGAGGTGTGACCTTGAAATTTATTGGTAGGTCACCTATTATGTAGTATTGTGAAGTGTGTTGCCTAATCGTAAGGCGTTTTTGTAATGTATAGTGCAAGAGGTTGCGCTATGGTTGACCGATGAAGTGCGAAGAAATTTTCAAAGCCCAATAGAAGTTGCTTTGGAAGGAGGATAATATTCATATCTCGGAAAAAATTAATGATTTAAATTAAATAATGAATGCCCACGATTATTTACTAAAGTTGAAACAAATAGCAATTGCCCTAGATAAGATTCAACGAGCTGACTGTACAATTAGCGAATGCACAGAAAGGATGGACCTATTTGCCTTTTTTAAAGAAAATGAAAATTGCACTGATTCAGATAGAAATCATTCTGTAAAAAGGTTCCATATGGCTATGTCTCCAGCATACTACCTGGCAAATATACTAGATCATCGATTCCAAAGACTTAAATTGAATCTAGAGTAACGCGAAGAAGGTCTTGAGTATGCCTCTCGTTATTATCCTGAAGCGATGCCTTTTATGGTAAGTTATCAGGCAAAAACATCACCATTTAAGGATTATTTATTTCAAGACAATTTGAAAGGCCTGACACCACTTATTTGGTCGAAGTCCTCGAAAGATAACTTAGGGGCTTGAGCGTATTTTTTCCACATTTGGGATAATCCACACCAAACTTCGTAATAAGTTGGGCACAGAAACATAGTCATATTATATGATTATGATAATTTACAAACGTCCAAAAAACAGTGTTTAAAACATATTTTAAACTGTTTAAAACAAACAGGTTTAAAACACCTCCATTGTTTTAAACAGTGTTTAAAACACCCGTTGGGTTTAGTACACGGTGAATTCCCATCAAAATTGAAGTGTTCCACCACTACTTTTGTACCAAATGTTCAACATCCTGAGCTATACAGGGTGTTTCAGTTTATTGTTGCATAACTTTAAGATTCGATAGAACTTTTAAAACTAATGCTTAAAGTCTATATAAACATGGGTCGAAAAATGCGTTGCTTCCGAAATACAGGGTGTTTAAATTTACTTTATAAAATAGTTTTTTTAAATATTTCGAACAATATTTGATATATAACAGTCAAAATTGGTATACAAGGGTTTTTTGGTAAGACAAAACGAACCATGGGCATAGTTTTACTGTAGCCGCTAGAGGGCGCTCTCTACTGTACCTGTAGTGTATTAAAATGACCGAAACATTTTTCTTAGTGCAATTTTTTGCTTTTTGAATAAAAAAACTGATTCTTCGCACTTTTCGAATCTTAAAAATCGAAATATTTCAAAAACGGCTAACTATAACGAAAATTCACAAGAGAGCTTTTTTATGTTGAAAAGTGCGAAGAATCAGTTTTTTTATTCAAACAGCAAAAAATTGCACTAAGAAAAATTTTTCGGTCATTTCAATACACTACAGGTCCAGTAGAGAGCGCCCTCTAGCGGCTACAGTAAAACTATGCCCATGGTTCGTTTTGTCGTACCAAAAAACCCTTGTATACCAATTTTCACTGTTATACATCAAATATTGTTCGAAATATTTAAAAAAAGCTATTTTAGAAAGTAAATTTAAACGTATTTCGGAAGCCACGCATTTTTCGACCCATATAGACTTTTTGCATTAATTTTAACAGCTCTATCGAATCTTAAAGTTATGCAACAATAAACTGAAGCACCCTGTATACAAAATAATGATGTCTATGGTGTGTTGTAAAAAATTAATTCGAATGCCTTAAATGCTATTTTGGCACTTTTAAAATCTTCTGAAAAATATACTTTGGTTTCTATGTAAAAGGTTCGACTCACTGTTGTCGGACTGTGCTATTCATCTCTTTTGCCAGGCTAAACCTTAAGACTATTTGGAGTAACATGTACTAAATTTAATGTTCACAGCCGTGCCAATTGTGGTCGGGCAAACAGATATGTAGCCTAATCTTCAAACCAAACAAGAAATACCCCGTAAAAGCTAACTTAGAGGCAAAGGGCAAGGCGTACACAAAGAATAGGGAGCTGTGCGTCAAGGACTCGTATGTGATAATCCGAAACTCGGAACTTTTGGCTGGAACTCTGGATAAGGGTCACTTGGGCAGCGGCGGGAAAGCCGGGAACATTTTTTATATCATTTTGAGGGATTTCGGACAAGAGTACACCATCAGAGCTATGTGGAGATTAGGTAAGTGATGTTAGACGCTCGCCTCTATTAACTAAATGAATTTTTAATTTTTAGCAAGGATGACTTCATACTATCTGATGAATTCTGGATTTTCAATCGGTATCGGAGATGTCACACCGGGAGAGAATCTTATAAGAAGAAAAAATAAACTGTTGAGTGCTGGGTAAGCATATACTAAAATCGTAACATATGATTTAACACTGGAATAACATTTCCGTATAACTTGAAATGGATCGACAGACAGATTAATATGCTTTATTTTCTAAGAATAACGTGATTTTTGTGCGACAAAGTTAACTTGAAACTAAAGTAAAAATAAAATTACATATTTGAATCTTAAGCAAGTGTATTGTATGCAGGGTGGCCCAACGAAAAGGTCGCACTCTCATTTTGTGATATTGCCTTACACTAGATTTTTAAATGGAAACCCCAAATTGTTTAATCTTTAGATTCTCCATGAAATGACTACCATAACATTTACACCCCGTATAATCTGATTTTGACAGTTACGCTCAGTGTCAGGCGTACATAAAGGAAATGAATGAAGGAAAATTGGCGACTCAACCGGGTTGCACGATAGAAGAGTCCTTAGAAGCTGTCATCCTGAAAGAATTGTCTGTGATACGAGAACATGCTGGACAAGCTTGTGTAGCTGAGCTTCATCCTACCAACAGCCCGCTCATTATGGCCCTTTCTGGATCTAAAGGTATCTGATATTTGTAAAATATAGGGTTGTCCAATAGGGACGCAGGAAAGTAAACGTCAATTTGACATAGTCTTTGTTTTCTGTCACCGACATGTCATTTTGTTAGTTGAATGTTTACCATTGATCGCTATGGAGTCGTATTCGACTAAAGACCGCATTAAAGTTATTCAAGAGCACTACTACAAAAATGGTGCAAAAATAAAAAACACGTTTCGCGCGCTTCGTGAACATTTCGGTCGCAACAACCGCCCAAACGAAACAACCATCGGTCGTCTGGTGCGTAAATTCGAGGCAACAGGTTCTGTGGCAAATCTGCCAGGCTCTGGCCGGCCAAGGAGCGTTCGCACACCGGAAAATATTGCCGTTGTGAAGGAGAGTGTGAGAGACGATCCGAAACAATCAACAACGCGTCGATCCCAAGAATTGGGCATTTCGAGAACCAGTTTGCTCCGCATTCTCCACAAGGATTTGAATGTACACGCCTACAAGAGCCAAATGATGCAAGATGCGCCGAACGTTCTCAGATTGGCTCCTAGAACACCGCCAAATTGATGCCAATTTTTCATAAAAAATCATGTTCAGCGACGAAGCGCATTTCACTTTGAATGGGACGGTAAACAAGCAAAACTGCCGCATCTGGGCGAACGAAAATCCCTGTGAGTATCAAGAGCGGCCGATGCATCCTCAAAAAGTGACTGTGTGGTGTGCATTGTGGTCAAAAGTCATCATCGGACCATACTTTTTCGAAAATGCGGCCGGGGACGCCGTTACCGTCAATTCTGAGCGATATCACGTGATGATAGCGGACTATTTTTTGCCGCAACTTGAAGGAATGGATATGGACGATGTTTATTTCCAACAAGACGGTGCAACATGCCACACAACCAACGTCAATATCCATCGATTGCAGTCCTTCTTCGGTGATCGCGTGATTTCGCGCAGAGGAAATGTGCCATGGCCACCAAGATCGTGCGATTTGACTCCCTTGGAGTTCTTTTTATGGGGATATTTGAAAAGCAAAGTCTACGTCAACAAACCAGCCACCCTCCAAGAACTCAAAAACAACATCATTGCCGAGATAAATGCCATAGAATCGACCATGTTGCAAAATGTCATTGAAAATTTCGACCATCGCGTGGACGTCTGTAAATCCAGTCGTGGTGAACATTTGAGCGATATTATTTTTCATACATAAATGGTATAAATGAACCTTCAAAATAAAGTACCCAACTTGATTTGAATATCAATCTTTCTAGTTTTAATATGCGTTTACTTTCCTGCTTTGAAAATAAGGATCCTTAGAATGGGGATCTCAATAGTTGTGGGAGATACAGCTTAGGTTAAAATAGAAAAAAGCTGCGTTCTTTGGGGCCATTGATAAACTTCGTAGCTTACTGAGGTATTTTGAAAAAAATAAAATTCGGCCAAAACTAATGGGTAACAGTTTATAAAATGATGATGATATTCGGAATAACCAATACATTTTTAACATTATTTTTATTTTATGCAAATAGGTTGTCATTCTTTTCTAAACATAAATATGATCTTCTGATAGTAGAATTCAAAACATCACGTAACATTTCTGGTGTAATCATACTAATGTTTCCATTACACATTCTCGTAATGGCTGCTAATTTTCAAAAGTATGCTGATAAACAAAAAAGCCAAGAGGAGTTAAATCCGGGGATCCCGCTGGCCAGGACACTTCACTGGAGGTTCCAATCCACCTTCCGTGAAATCGCTGGGAAAGATAATCTCCAACTTGCCTAGAGTAATGTGCAGGAGCAGTAAACCTGAAGCAAGACAAACTACAGTATATTCAGATAAGAGATAGACCGGACATAAACAAGACCACGTGATCATCGAACGCTGTAACATTCGGCAGGGACGTATTAAGAGTCACGCAGTACATATTTTAGATAGTAGATGCTGCTTTGCGTAACTTTGTAGTAAATTAGCACAATTCGATGTGTATACGATTGGTGATGGATATAGGATCATGTGGGGGTGGGGTAAGAAATATATAATGATGTAAATATACATAAGGGTTTCAAAATTTTCGCTTCGATTTTGAGCTTCAAATGCCGCCTGATGTTTGGTGAAATACAGTCGAATATAATCTCAAAATGGCGTTTAAATTAGCCTAAATTAGAAATAATCGTATACCTCTTAAAATTGCTTTTAGAATATTGATTAGTATATATTTTGATTTCTAGGTAAATATGTAACCAAATTAAAACGTTCAAAACGTAAAAAAATGTGCATGGTTGAACATTGTCAGAAATTAGATTCTTGGGTTCAAAAATGTCAATAATTAATTAAAAAATACAGTAGCTTTATAATTACTTATAACTTACCGAATTTGATGAACGACATCTTTTATTGGAAAGATGAGCTTGATGAGCTTTCATCACCGCTACTGCCTGAAGCACCAACGTCAATAATGAATGGCTCGACTTGTTCCTCTAAAATATTGTCCAGTTCCCACATTCTCTTTTCAACTTTGTCTTTCACGTGCTTAATACAGTTTTCCCATTTTTGCGCTGTTATTAATTCTAGTGCTTCTTTGAAAAGTCCTTTGAGGTCACAAAATTTAAAAGTTGTATTGTGCTTAGCTATATAATTTTTAACCTCTGCCCATATGAGCTCAATGGGATTGAGCTCGTAATGGTATGGAGGTAAACGGAGCACAGTTTTATTTTGACTTGCTGCCATTTCGTCAATGGCGTATTTTTGATATTCCGCCTTGTGATCCTTGACAATTCTTAATAATTGTACTTTCAGCATTGCTTCTTCAAAGTTGATATTTTTCGAGCGGAGCCAATTTTGAACATCAACTTTCCTTGAAGCCGTTGTTGGGACCTTCTCCATTCTTCGAGAATGATAAGGCGCATTATCCAACACAATTACTGCGTTTTCCTCTAAGTTCGGTAAAATTTTTGAAAACCACTGTTCAAACGATTCGCCATTCATTTCCTCGTGGTAATCTCCAGTTTTCTTAGACTCACAGCACCACAGACCGTCAACAACAAATCCATCCTCACTGCCAATATGGCAGATAATGAGCCTTTTCCCTTTACCTGGAAATCGAAGTACTAACTGGTGTAGATTTATTTCAATAAGCGAACCTTTTTCAAATGTTTTCATCACACTCAGCGAAAAAACATTGAGACATGAGTATCAGATTGCTATAATTGGGATTATTTAGTCATATTGAAAGAAAGAATATTGAACGTCGTATGATTACTTAGCGCTTCACAATTTAATTTAAAGTTATAAACCTTTAAAAAATGAATGATCAGGAACCTGAAATACGCGCAAATATTAATATTAACAAATTATAACTTTATAAAGCTTAAAGTATGAATTAAAATGATTAGAAATATTAGGAACGGTACACAATATAAAACTTAGTAACTTTTTTTAAGTTTATAATATTCGACATATTTTAAGATTATATTAAAAAATTATTGAAATATCGAAAACACATAAAAACATGGCTTAAAAAAGTTCTAACAAATGAAAATGACATTAAAACATCCACGTATTTTATCGACAGTTATAAAAGTTTTGTTACTTGTAATATGTTTTATCTGTCCCCTGGAATTAATGTTTAGAACCTTGTTCCCAAGGTTTGAAAAACATCCGATTGTTGTCTATTACTCGTATTTACCTGCTGGATTTTTTAATACGGTGGACAGTACATCTAGAAAGGCCCTCCTGGATGAAGTTACAGAATCATCAACCCATATTTTACTTGTAGTGTGTCCTGCGTTTACCCACGTTTCATCAAGGTAATAAATCTTCCTGTTTTGATTTCTATATTTCCCAATTTTTGTTAAATAATCCCTCCTCCATAGCACAATTTCTTCTCTATCGAGTAGTAAACTATTACGACCCCTTTTTTCCATTTGAAATTTAAATGCTTCAGTAACGCATGGAAAGTTGATCGTTTGAAATTTGGCAACGTTGTATCTCCATTTACCTCCTGCAGTACTTTATCTATAGTAGGTATTTCATTCCTAAAGAAGAATTCATGCACTTTCCTCCTAATCGCATGCTTATCAGCTTCATCCAATAATTTAACAATACTTTTGCGACGTTTACTGGTCATTGGCTCAGAAAAGGTGTGATTTTTTTTGTATTGTCTTAACACATTAAACACTGATGCGCGACACACCCCAACTTTGTGAGAAACCTTCACAACAATTTCTTTGATGGTTGATGCCTCGTTCTCCTCGCGCTCGATCTTATATATATTCAAAATGACCTCTTTCATTTCTGCACTCAGGTGTCTTTTTTTAGAGCGTTTCCTAGGTGTACTACAGGAGTTTACAACTTCATCGGCAGTATCTGTACTACTGGGCATTTTGCGCAAGCAGTTGATAACAATAACAATCAATAACAAGGTATAACAATAACAACGACAAACTCAACAACTTAATAAGATAACAAACGAAAACGTCCAAAGAAATATCAAATTGCAATGATGCACACGACATACGTAACACGTCTGAACCTGAATGTGACTCTGCCTTGATACGACTGCTCTGCCGCTCGGCATAGGCATTTAATTGCGAATTGACCAATGAGGGCTCCTGTTTTACGTCGAGACGGCGGCGTTAGCGTGAAAATCACCCGAACCTTTGGTTTACATCCGGTCTATCTCTTATCTGAATATACTGTATACCTACTTGCTTATTAAAACTAGTCACACACTTTCGCGCTTTCAAGATAATCCAAAATATTTATAAAGATGACGAGTTTATATATATATATCTCTGTATTAGGTGAAAAATTAAAGTTTCCGCCTTTTGTTGGGTACTTCGACAAAATTTAAGCAAAGAGGACTCTTTATACTTTTTTAATTCTCTCTAGCTTTCAATGGACTTTGCCATCATCACCAGGAGCTGCAATTACAATGATAACAGTAGCAACAAAAGTGTAAAATGAATTTAAATAGACGACAATGACCACGTCTCAAGTTATATCTCTATATATATAACGTTTTTAAGCTTTAGTAAACTCTTTTAATGGTAATCTCAAGCTTTCGGCAAATCTCTATGGATCCTTCTTCAGGAGCTGCAAAATACAATTATGAAGCTAGCAACCAATACAGGAAAGATTTAAATTGTAAAACAACTTACTCGTCGTTGAGGTTGCAGCCAAATGGTGTTTCAAAACGAACGCGGGGATGAGAGCACTTGTTACAAATATAAAACCAGACGAACACATTGGGCTTATTGATAACGACGGAAACCATCGTTAGGTGTTAACACTATATATCAATACACCCGAACACATTAAAAATTAACAAAAAGCAATTTTGGGGACAAAACCGGAACGTCCCTTCTAACCTCCCACATCTGCTTCACGTGGAGAAGATCAGCGGACCGGAAGAATGATTCGTCGACAGATGACAGGTGATTGTCGCGAAAGAATGTCGAACTGTAAACGTCATTAACAAGTTTCAGGTGTAATGTATACGAGGGACGCTCGGTAAAACCTCATCCTAATTACCGAATTGCTGAATTGATTTGTTCTGAAAATTGGCATAATAGGTTGTACATACCTGCCGCAGAAACGTCCACGTTGAAAAAGTGGTTCACGATCTGTAATAACTTGTAAAAACCTTGAAATATTTTCGTCACAATAAATACGCTGAGAACAGATACGTGAGCAATGAAGAATAATCAAATTTGCACCGAGACTACTGGCGAGAAATAGCAGCGGGTAAACAAAAAAGTGTGGGGCTTTTTCTAGCATCTGTTCCGGCATCTTAGGTACATACCAGTTTTGGGATACGACCTATTCTGCAAACTCGATTTTTGTCCGGATTTTTAATTCAAATATGTACCCGTATGTGCGTCAGGCACAAAATTTAAAAACACCATCGTGTAGTGCCAATGGACAAGTTTAATTAGTTTTTTAATATTTCCTAAAAAGTAAAAATAATTTGGTCAAATTTTAGTTTTTCCAAACTCAATAAGTAGTAGTAGTAGAAAGATTTATTTAGCACATTTGGCTACATAAACAGAATAATTGTAAACAACTTAGAACTAGTAAATTCAAGCCATATGGTGTATGATGTAAATGCTGGGCAACCTATAATTGTAGATTTAACAAGTGATTTCTCAATTTTACTTTAAATTTTGTCACAGTTTTCTGGTCTTTTATCTCCGAGTATAATTTATTATATTCAATCAATCCTTGATGGAATACAGATTTGTAGCATATGTTATACTTTTTGGTCATTAAATGGAAGTCATCTTTATTTCTTTATGTAAATGATGGTCGACATTTGATGATGTTAAATTAGTTAGACTTGATGGAAATATATTATTTTTTACTTTATAAATGAATATCATTACAAGATATTTGATAAAACTTTTTACATTGAGCCATTTTAATTTGCTAAGCATTTGCCTAATTGGAGTATATTTATCTTTATTTAGTATTATTCTCATGCACTTATTTTGTAAAATTTGCAGTCTTTCAAAAATGGAATTATTTGATAAATATAGAATAGTCGAACAGTACAAGAAATTTGGAAGAATGATGATGATAGATAATTTTTCTGCTATATGAACTCAGACATCCAGAAACTCTCGATAAATATCCCACTTTACTACTAATCTTATTTATAACTTTTTCATAATGAATATCAAAAATTAATCGGGAGTCAACAAAAACCCCCAGGTATTTAAAATTTTCTACGAATTCAATATCTTCACCATCAATATTCAGTTGAACATTTGTATATTGTTTTTTTCCGATTAACAAGGCTTTCGTTTTACTTGCATTTAATTTTAGTCTGTTAGATGCTAACCATTTTGAGACAAGCTTCAAGTCTTCATTTATATAAGAGATACCAGACTAAATATTTTTAGTACTTATATAAATCATAGTGTCATCGGCGAGAATCTGAATTTTGCATTTTTTGACTATGGCAGGTAAATCATTTATGTATAAAATAAAAAGAAGTGGTCCCAGGATACTGCCCTGTGGAACACCCAATGTATTTTCAATTTTTGATGAAATAGTGTCATTAACTTTTGTAACTTGCATCCTTTAAGACAAATAATTTCTAAACCAATCTAAAATACTTCCTGTTATACCATATGCCTTCAATTTACCTAACAAAATATCTCTATCAATCGTTTCAAATGCCCTCTTCAAATCCAAAAATACTGCTATGACAACTTCTGAGTCTATGGCTCTTCTCCAATTCTCAGTTACCAACTGGAAAGCCGTTTCTGTGGAACATTTTTTTCGAAAGCGTGCTTGCGCCTCCTCTAAAATTTTGTTTTCTTCGATAAACTGCATTAATTGGTCATGCACTATGGACTCTAATAATTTTTCAATGTCTGGTAACACATTTACTGGTCTCATATCGCTGCATCTTTTAGAATTTTTTATTTTGGGAACTGGTGTTATTGTAGAGCATTTCAAATTTTCAGGGAAAGAACTGATTCTCAGTGAACAATTGATCCAATTTAATACAGGATATCCCAAAATTTCGAAACAGTTTTTCAGCACGTTTTCAGTAGTGATTTCGGCACAGTTGTTATTTGATTTTAAACTGTTTACTTTTTTTCTTAGATAATTCAATGATACGCTGTGAAATTTTGAAAGTGTACGCAACATTTCCCCCTGGAAACTGATTTTCATATGGTCAGGTGCAGCATTGGAAGTACCTACAATATCAACAATACTTTCCACAAAATATTCATTTAGTTTGTTTGCAATCACCAAAGAATTTGTTTCGGTACCGTTTTCGAATTGAACTTGATTTACACAATCATGCGGCTTCGAACTGATCAGTCTTTTTAAAGTCTTCCACATCTTTACACTGTCGCACTTGTTATTATCGATTTGTTTATCGTAGAATTTCCTTTTTTCTTCTCTAATTACATATACACGTTTATTCCTAAGAGTTTTATATACCTCCCAATCATCATTTGATTTTGTGAATATACATTTATTGTATTGTTTGTCTCTCAAATTTTGAGCTGCCTTAATATTCTTGTTATACCAGGGTGTATTTTTTGTCGAGCAAATCACTTTTTTATCAGTTGCACGATCTAAACAAGTTTTTATATTTCCTATTATGTTGTCATATATTTTTTCCATATTCTCACCAAAATTCCAACAGCGATAAGCCACGAAATTTTTACAATTCTTTCAACGGCATGTAAAGACGCCCCAAAGAACGCTACTTCTCCAAATCTAACCTAAACTGTATCTCCGACACTTTATTTCAAATGGAGTAACTTCATTTTGGTTTCAGGATCTTTCATCAACATATCTCAAATGATAGCTTGCGTCGGACAGCAAGCTTTGAATGGAAAAAGGGTGCCGAACGGGTTTGAAAATCGTTCCCTGCCCCATTTTGACCACTATTGTAAGTTTTCTACATCCGCTGATTCTTTGGGTCTCTAAACATTGCAATTATTTTAGCAAAAACTCCTGAGGCAAAGGGATTCGTGGAAAACAGTTTTTACTCTGGAATGACCCCGACAGAATTCTTTTTCCATACTATGGGCGGCAGGGAAGGTTTGGTTGATACCGCCGTCAAAACAGCCGAGACTGGTTACATGCAACGACGATTGGTCAAGGTACGACTCATCACTTTGTGGACTCGGCAATTTGTGTAACCTTAGGACTAAAAAACACAATCGATTAACGTATTCTACCTGAAAATACCCAACTATAGCCTATTTCGGCGTCCTAGAAATTATCAAAGATGGGGTGAGATACCATGCTGCCATCTACAGTGTGTCCCAATATTCTGTGGACATAGGAGTACCACAATTGCAAAAAAACGTTTCAGATTTCAACAGACAACAAAACTAACTGTCAACTAATTGACGTTTAACCTTGTTCTGCTTTCAATATCAAAAATATTTGCACAGCCTACTTCTAAAAATTATCGAGATACTGACTTTTTAGCCATAAATAATTAAAAATGCATCGAACCTTAAAAATCGAAATATCTCAAAAACGGCTAACCATAACGAAAATTCACAAGAGAGCTTTATTATGTTGAAAAGTGCGAAGAATCAGTTTTTTTATTCAAAAAGCAAAAAATTGCACTAAGAAAATTTTTTCGGTCATTTTAATACACTACAGGTACAGTAGAGAGCGCCCTCTAGCGGCTACAGTAAAACTATGCCCATGGTTCGTTTTGTAGTACCAAAAAACCCTTGTATACCAATTTTCACTGTTATACATCAAATATTGTTCGAAATATTTAAAAAAAACTATTTTAGAAAGTAAATTTTAACACCCTGTATTTCGGAAGCCACGCATTTTTCGACCCATGTTTATATAGACTTTATGCATTAATTTTAAAAGTTCTATCGAATCTTAAAGTTATGCAACAATAAACTGAAACACTCTGTATACGTTTCTCCGCATGATCCTTTCTTTTTTTTATTGATGTATATATATTTTGGAGTTAGGAATTATTGCTGTGTTTAAAGACATAATCTAAACGATCATCTTAATTACTTGTAATGCCCAAATTGAAAATGTAAAAAAAATATTATTTTTCCATAAATAATTAAAAATGCATCGAACCTTAAAAATCGAAATATCTCAAAAACGGCTAACTATAACGAAAATTCACAAGAGAGCTTTATTATGTTGAAAAGTGCGAAGAATCGGTTCTTTTATTCAAAAAGCAAAAAATGGCATTAAGAAAATTTTTTCGGTCATTTTAATACCCTACAGGTACAGTAGAGAGCGCCCTCTAGCGGCTACAGTAAAACTATGCCCATGGTTCGTTTTGTGGTACCAAAAAACCCTTGTATACCAATTTTCGCTGTTATACATCAAATATTGTTCGAAATATTTAAAAAAAAACTATTTTAGAAAGTAAATTTTAACACCCTGTATTTCGGAAGCCACGCATTTTTCGACCCATGTTTATATAGACTTTATGCATTAATTTTAGAAGTTCTATCGAATCTTAAAGTTATGCAACAATAAACTGAAACACCCTGTATAGTTCCTTTCCTTTTTATATTTTAAATGTTTTTTTTTTTGTTAAATCTGCCTAAAATGATTTGACGTTTTTCGTTAAATTATATTTTTTATATAATATCTTTATAGACATATATTTTTTGACGTTTGTAATTATTATTCATTGATTATTAATATTAACTTATATAATTTGGTTAAGAACTCCTCTGTTGTTATTTTGTTTGTTGGGTTAGTACTTTGATCTAGCTCGTCCCTTTTGCAGGGAATTCATGTTGTTTCTTCATTTCTAATTTTCTCCCTTTGTATTTTTTTGCTCTGCAAATAAACGCTATTATTATTAAATATTAGACACACATCCAGTTTCGTCGAATTTTCTCATCAACTCAGCCACATACTTATCGTTAATAATTTTGTCTGGATGTAACGCATTAAACAACCGGGTAGTCGCTCTTGCAATGTTCCCATTTTGGTAATACAGTTTTGTTAATTCTACCCTTTCTGGAATTGAATAAGTCATTGTTCTCTATTCATCACAACTAGGTAGGTAACTTGAAAATTTGAAATGAAAAAGTTGTTCTACGACGTAGTATCTTATTTTTGGATCATCCTGTATTGTACGGCTACAGATGAAAAGACGTCCCCCTAGAAATCAAAATTGACGTGACAAATGGGGGTGTGACCTTTTCGTTGGACCGCCCTGTATAAGTTTCAATTTGGCATAAGTTTCACTATGTTCTACTATGGGGATGCGCTCTTTATTTAGAATCAATACAAGTGCGTCCTTATGTTATTATACATGAGTTTAGGAGAAAAAGGCATACTTGAACTCTTTTCAGGATTAATCCTGAGACAGTGCTTTTTGCTAGAATCATGAGTTGCAAATTTCATTCAAATCGGACTAATCGGTGCTCGAAAAAACCTCAAAAAAATGTGTTTTAAAAACACTTTAACGCCCTCCAAAGGACAAACGAAGCACTTTCGTATGTACAGTATATTCAGATAAGAGATAGACCGGACATAAACAACACCACGTGATCATCGAACGCTGTAACATTCGGCAGGGACGTATTAAGAGTCACGCAGTACATATTTTAGATAGTAGATGCTGCTTTGCGTAACTTTGTAGTAAATTAGCACAATTCGATGTGTATACGATTGGTGATGGATATAGGATCATGTGGGGGTGGGGTAAGAAATATATAATGATGTAAATATACATAAGGGTTTCAAAATTTTCGCTTCGATTTCCAGCTTCGGATGCCGCCTGATGTTTGGTGAAATACAATCGAATACAATCTCAAAATGGCGTTTAAATTAGCCTAAATTAAAAATAATCGTATATCTCTTAAAATTGCTTTTAGAATATTGATTAGTATATTTTTTGATTTCTAGGTAAATATGTAACCAAATTAAAACGTTCAAAACGTAAAAAAATGTGCATGGTTGAACATTGTCAAGTAGATTCTTGAATAGGTTTTGCCAAAATGGGTTCAAAAATGTCAATAATTAATTAAAAAATACAGTAGCTTTATAATTACTTATAACTTACCGAATTTGATGAACGACATCTTTTATTGGAAAGATGAGCTTGATGAGCTTTCATCATCGCTACTGCCTGAAGCACCAACGTCAATAATGAATGGCTCGACTTGTTCCTCTAAAATACTGTCCAGTTCCCACATTCTCTTTTCAACTTTGTCTTTCACGTGCTTAATACAGTTTTCCCATTTTTGCGCTGTTATTTATTCTAGTGCTTCTTTGAAAAGTCCTTTGAGGTCACATAATTTAAAAGTTGTATTGTGCTTTGCTATATAATTTTTAACCTCTGCCCATATGAGCTCAATGGGATTGAGCTCGCAATGGTATGGAGGTAAACGGAGCACAGTTTTATTTTGACTTGCTGCCATTTCGTCAATGGCGTATTTTTGATATTCCGCCTTGTGATCCTTGACAATTCTTAATAATTGTACTTTCAGCATTGCTTCTTCAAAGTTGATATTTTTTGAGCGGAGCCAATTTTGAACATCAACTTTCCTTGAAGCCGTTGTTGGGACCTTCTCCATTCTTCGAGAATGATAAGGCGCATTATCCAACACAATTACTGCGTTTTCCTCTAAGTTCGGTAAAATTTTTGAAAACCACTGTTCAAACGATTCGCCATTCATTTCCTCGTGGTAATCTCCAGTTTTCTTCGACTCAAAGCACCACAGACCGTCAACAACAAATCCATCCTCACTGCCAATATGGCAGATAATGAGCCTTTTCCCTTTACCTGGAAATCGAAGTACTAACTGGTGTAGATTTATTTCAATAAGCGAACCTTTTTCAAATGTTTTCATCACATTCAGCGAAAAAGCATTGAGACATGAGTATCAGATTGCTATAATTGGGATTATTTAGTCATATTGAAAGAAAGAATATTGAACGTCGTATGATTACTCAGCCCTTCACAATTTAATTTAAAGTTATAAACCTTTAAAAAATGAATGATCAGGAACCTGAAATACGCGCAAATATTAATATTAACAAATTATAACTTTATAAAGCTTAAAGTATGAATTAAAATGATTAGAAATATTAGGAACGGTACACAATATAAAACTTAGTAACTTTTTTTAAGTTTATAGTATTCGACATATTTTAAGATTATATTAAAAAATTATTGAAATATCAAAAACACATAAAAACATGGCTTAAAAAAGTTCTAACAAATGAAAATGACAATAAAACATCCACGCATTTTATCGAAAGTTATAAAAGTTTTGGTACTTGTAATATGTTTTATCTGCCCCCTGGAATTAATGTTTAGAACCTTGTTCCCAAGGTTTGAAAAACATCCGATTGTTGTCTATTACTCGTATTTACCTGCTGGATTTTTTAATCCGGTGGACAGTCCATCTAGAAAGGCCCCCCTGGATGAAGTTACAGAATCATCAACCCATACTTTACTTGTAGTGTGTCCTGCGTTTACCCACGTTTCATCAAGGTAATAAATCTTCCTGTTTTGATTTCTATATTTCCCAATTTATGTTAAATAATCCCTCCTCCATAGCACAATTTCTTCTCTATCCAGTAGTAAACTATTACGACCCCGTTTTTTTCCATTTGAAATTTAAATGCTTCAGTAACGCATGGAAAGTTGATCGTTTGAAATTTGGCAACGTTGTATCTCCATTTACCTCCTGCAGTACTTTATCTATAGTAGATATTTCATTCCTAAAGAAGAATTCATGCACTTTCCTCCTAATCGCATGCTTATCAGCTTCATCCAATGATTTAACAATACTTTTGCGATGTTTACTGGTCATTGGCTCAGAAAAGGTGTGATTTTTTTTGTATTGTCTTAACACATTCAACACTGATGCGCGACACACCCCAACTTTGTGAGAAACCTTCACAACAATTTCTTTGATAGTTGATGCCTCGTTCTCCTCGCGCTCGATCTTATATATATTCAAAATGACCTCTTTCGTTTCTGCACTCAGGTGTCTTTTTTTAGAGCGTTTCCTAGGTGGACTACAGGAGTTTACAACTTCATCGGCAGTATCTGTACTACTGGGCATTTTGCGCAAGCAGTTGATAACAATAACAATCAATAACAAGGTATAACAATAACAACGACAAACTCAAC